GCTTTCCCCTGTGTGGGCTTAGCTATGGTTTAGTTTTAAAATAAATAAAGCTGCTTTATTCAATGCTTCCATCTCTTTTCTGCCTTTCCACGTTGTGTGTGCTGTGCAGGATTTCAGCTTCCTCAGTCCATGAGACTTGTTGTGAGTGAGCTTTGTAGGGGATTCAGATAGATGCCAGTTTTCAAACCTGTCTCTATGCCTAGAGCTGGATGCAGCAGGTAGCCTGAAATGTTAGCACTACAATGCCCAAATTTTCTGCTTTATTATATTTTGTGCTTCGGAATAGATATTTATGTCATGTTTTCTTTTTAAAATTAAGCTATGTTTGATTTAGCACTTAAAATGTTCCTCACAATTCCTATTTAATTTAGATTTGGAAAAACTCATTTATAGTATTTTAAAAATCTGCTCAGGTTGAATTGAAAACTATATTTTGAGGAGGAGAAAGAATTTTTTTCTAATATTCTGACTCAGGATCACTAACCTTTGTGTGCCAAGGAAAATCCCCAGTGGGACTGTCAGTGGCCCTTGGGATTTTTCTGTATTCTGCATGTCAGAGCAGGGAGCACCGTCTGTCATCTGTCCTTTGGGCAGCACAGGGCGAGCCAGGGGGTCTGCTTGTTGTTACGTGACAAACGTGGACTGAAAAATAAAACTAGTAATAAGAGAGGAGTCACTGTTAGATCTGATTTAAAATGGGGTGGGCACAAATTATTAGTAATGTTCCATTAAAAGTGTATCCCAGGCTTTGCCATTTCTCAGCCTGTGTGTACTGTGGTTCCAAAGTCAGCTGAATGTTGTGTTATAGTTGGGGAGACAGGGTTTTACTGCACAGCATTTGATCTAATTACTGCAATGGAAGCTGTGGAGATACAGTTTCTTTTAACTTAGCTGAATAATAAAAAAAAAAAAATATGATTGAAAATGAGATTTTCGGAGGAGGAGGGAAGTTTGGGGTCAGTTGTTTGTGCAGGCAAAGTATTTTGCTTTTCTAAGAAATGCATGCAACAGCTTCTCCCATTTCACTCTACTCATATTTTGCATTTGTAATCTATGTAAACACTAAACTGATTTTGCAACTAATTATTCATTACCCAGCACAGCCAGAAATGTTTTCTGGTTTTAATAAGTACTGAATTGAAGCTGGTCAAGTGTGTTGGCTACAGTACGTAATAACACCAGCAATCTCCTCCCACCCCATTAAGGATATTATAAAAAAAAAATAAATCAGCAACTCAAAACAAAACAACCCCCTCATGCTATTGGTTATACTGATCAGAGCTGTGGATTTTTCAGGTCATGTGTATGGTTGCTGTTGGACAGAAGTTTTGTGCTTGTTAAAAACAAATCTGTGCCATTATTCTCAAATTAATATTTCCTTCCTGATTGCTGAAGAAATGTTGATCAGGGGAATGATATTTTATAAAAGATGCATAATTAAGATTTTGAAAAATAAAATATTAATTTGAAAATTGTTTTCACTTTGTGGTGTCCCAGCACTAGGATTTGCTAACACGGAATACCTGTGGTTCCTGTTCCTTGTGCCTTGTTTACAGTCATTGCTCAGCTCACAGAGGAGGAATAGAAATGATTCTGGTGGACTCAATGCTTTTATTTCACATCTTTGCATAAATAAAGAGGAACTGATTGTTAAGAATTTTTAAAATGGGTTTCCTATTTCAATCTTAACAACTCTGAAAAGAAAATATTGGGAATTTCTGTAAAGAGTTAGTTTCCTAGAAAGTTGGAGGAAATCTGCGTTAAAATAACAAACAAACAGAAAAGTTCTCTAGATTTAATCATATAAAACATTTTGCATTCATTATTTTTCCCAAATGTGTAAGTTCTTTACAGATTAAGTAAGACTGTGCTGCTCATTATTTATTTCATAACAGCAAGCCCATTTTATTTAAAAGAAAATGGAAAAATACCTTTTTGTTATTCACTTCTAGAGACAAGAATATAAAACTTATTCTCTTCAAGATCTGTATTCAAACTCTTGGTTTGTCTGAGAGCAGAGTCACTTTTTGCAGGTTTCTGTTCATTTTGTGAATTTTTTTTTCGGGATCCCGCTGCCTCCGGAGCAGGGAAGGCACAGCACAGGGACCCGCTGCTCCAGAGTGGGATCGCTGGTTTCACATCTCCTACATGGAATTATTGTAATCCCTACCAAAGTCACCACTTTCAGATTAGCCCGGGGTTACTGTTGATTGAGGCAATCATCTGAACCTCGGGTAGAGTGACTGTGCTGATGGGACAGGAAAGGGAGCACCTGGATTTGGGAAACCCAGGGGTTGGAGCTGTGTGTTCCTGGCAGGATCAAGCCCAGGCACTTGGCCGTTTTCTTGACATCTCTTGGGTTTTATAGTTCTTCTCCATCATAATTTTCTTCTCTTCTTGGTTTCTCTTACTGCTCCTCAAGATCTGGTCTTTTAATTTTGCTCCCCCTATTCTCAGCAATCATTCTAAGCTCTTTTGTCATCTTCAATCCCACCCCTTCCCTTTATTTTGTCTCCTGAGTGCTCTCAAATTTGAGCACTGCTTTAACCACTGTCTTTGGGGAAGAGGAGAAAGGAACTGATTAAACAAGCAGCTCTCTTTCATCTCATCTTGTCAGCCGTGGTGCTGTTCCTGTGAGTATGGAGACGTCCTGGGCTCTCTCCTGATCCTCCTTCCCCACCTGCCCTGCACAGCTCTGCTCTCCCAGCACCCTCACACAGAGCAGAGCTTTCGGCTTTGACAAGACCTTTCATTGGAACAATGTATTTCCAGCCACTTTCAAATCCTTCTGTCAAGGCTCAAACGCAGCCCCGAGTCGCACCACCCACAGGGTTGAAAAAAATCTCGTGTAACTCCTCTTATCTGATTCCTTGGTCGCCTCAACTTCTTATCTTCTGGCCTGGCCTGCTGCTGCTTTTTTCCCTTTGTTCATTCCTACTCTGCTAAGAATGTTCCTCGGCTCATTTCTCTAACTCTGCTGACCCTTTTTAAGTCCTTTCACAGCCTGCCTTCCCCTTCCATGTCTTATCTGGGATTCTGGTCTCTGTTTAACACCTGTGTAACAAATCTAGATCATCAGGTAAATGTTCAAACTCTGTCCTGTAGCAGTGGCTGTATCCAGGAATAACAGGATGCTTTCTTCCTTTCCAGCCGTTGCATGTAGAGGAAGGAATCCAGGTAAATCCAAGTGGTTCTGTTCACATTCTTTCAGATTTGTCATGCACTTGTCATTTATGTGGAGAAAGTTCTTCCCTGTGAGGGTGGTGAGGTACAGGGTGCCCAGAGAAGCTGTGGCTGGCCCATCTCTGGAAGGTTGGACAGGGCTCGGAGCAGCCTGGGATAGTGGGAGGTGTCCCTGCCCATGGCAGGGAGTAGAATGAGATGATTTTAAGATCCCTTCAAACACAAGCAATTCTATTTTCTCTGATTATTTAGATCTTTCTGTGATTTAGGTATTTTCCTGTTATCATAAGAAGATACGTGATCAACTAAGAATGTTTTCCCTTCCTTTCTCTAAAATTCTTTCTTCTGCTTCAATTAATTTAAATTTTAAAACAAAAAGCAATCTGGATTGGTTTAGCATGTTATTTCTTCATCTTGCAAAACCTTCATAAGGCAGCCGAGTAATCACCTTAAAAAGCTACAGGTGAAATGTGTGAACAAGACTGTCAGAGAGTGAGCTTTTTCTAATCTTGGGAGTAAATTTTGCACTACCAGAACACCTCTAATTGGAGGAGCTAATACACCAACTTATTTGTGATTTAAATTAATTCATATTAGGCATTCGTTGTTAACAACTTGTTTGGGAGATTTGTTGCATCCATCTTCCCCACAAAAATATTCATTTTATTCACAAATCACAAAGAGTAGAAGCCATGTTTCAACAGATTTAAAGGAAGTAAAAATAATCGACATCCAAAATTTGTTACTTTGATATGTTCAAGCAGTTAAGAGAGGCTTTTCTGCAGATTGTTTCCCACACAGATCTCTTGGATCAGAGTGAAATACTTGTTATCAAATTTCTACCAAAAGAAACTAAGAGAAATAATCTTGTACAGAGCAGCTGGGATGGAAATAAATGTAAAACCTTAACCAAAGCTTGAGTTCTTAACATGAGACATGTTGTGCCTTCCAGTTTATCGTCATGTCCTGGCGAGCAAGCAGGTGCTCAAGAGCTTTTGGTTAATTTTTTGGGTTAGTGTCTGTGTTTGAGGATGTGACAGTGCTGAAAAGGCACAGCATCACTTTTCATTGGCTTGGGGACCCAGGGGATTGTGTGTACAAATGCAAAATTATGTTTGAACCACAAGTAAAGCCTGTGAGAGGTAAGTTTCTTGACAAAACTGTCAGTTATTTAGGGACGCCCAAGTTCTCTGCTAAAATATACATTAATAGTGTTTATAATTGACACCTAACAAAAAGTTGCTGTCTGTATTTGTTTCTTTATTTCCAGGAAGGGGTTGCAGTCCTAAATGCAGTATGAATTTAGAGTGTTGTGATGTGGGTGTGTATGTAATATCTCAGGGCAGGCAGACATTTTACATTTTTTTTATTGGATGCTCTTTCTTTGTGTTTCTCTGAAGAATGAGAATTGAGTCAAAATAAATGGTAAGAGTCTGCTAGATTCTATTCAGTGTTTTTTCCAAATTTGCTTTTTAGACATTTAATGTAGATTAGTATATTTGCTCTTCTTATTTATTGCCTGCTTATTATTTTTACTGGTACACTGGGGGCTACAAAACACTTGCTCTGTTCTAAAATGAAATTTTTTGGTTATTTTAATTGAGAGTCTTGCCAGATTAAAAAAAAAAACCAAAAACCAATAAATTAGTATGAGCATCCTGCTCCATTGTAGTGAAGAAAATTGCTTTATTATGTTAGAGAATGTATTCTAAATTTTAGCAGAATGTAGTGTTGTAACTAGTGATGTAAAACAGTGCTTAGTAGAAGGCTTTTACAGTTTGAACAGTGGACTCATTTTTAACCTTGGATCCTTTCAGATCTCAGCCACAGTGGATTGGGAGACCATTATGAGAATTCCCACTGGGGACAGCAGCCCGCTTTCAGGAGTGAAGGCAACTGCAGCTGGGATAAAGTGATAATAGACAGGACTGACAAGGAAGCGTGGCCTTCCATTACCGGAGCTGAGACTGAGTCTGCCTCAGAATGTACTACAGACACTGACTCTGCCTCCAACTGTGGCTCAGAGAACAGTAGCATGGCTACAGGGAGTGCCCAAGGCAACTTCACTGGACATACAAAGAAAACTAATGGCAATAATGGCGCCAACGGAGCACTCGTCCAAAGCACTTCTAACCAGAGTGCCCTTGGAGCTGGTGGAGCAAACGGCAACGGCGGCTCGGCCAGGGTGTGGGGGGTGGCTGCGGGCTCCAGCTCTGGCCTAGCTCACTGCTCTGCCAGTGGTGGGGATGGAAAGATGGACAACATGATGGGAGACGGTAGAAGTCAGAACTGCTGGGGTGCTTCCAACTCGAATGCTGGCATGAATCTTAACCTTAACCCTAATGCCAATCCAGCTGCCTGGCCTGTACTTGGACATGAAGGAACTGTGGGAGCAGGCAACCCTTCCAGTATTTGCAGTCCAGTCAGTGCCATAGGTCAGAACATGGGCAACCAGAATGGGAACCCAACAGGCACCTTAGGTGCTTGGGGAAACTTGCTGCCGCAAGAGAGCACAGAACCACAAACGTCCACTTCTCAGAATGTGTCTTTCAGCGTACAACCTCAGAACCTTAACACTGATGGACCAAATAACACTAACCCCATGAACTCTTCACCAAACCCTATCAATGCAATGCAGACAAACGGACTGCCGAACTGGGGGATGGCCGTGGGCATGGGGGCCATCATCCCGCCCCACCTGCAAGGCCTTCCTGGTGCTAACGGAACAGCGGTTTCTCAAGTCAGCGGGGGCAGTGGTGAAGGAATGGGCAGTTCAGTATGGGGGATGTCCCCAGGTAATCCTGCCACAGGAAACAGCAATTCTGGGTTCAGTCAGGGGAATGGAGACACTGTGAACTCAGCATTAAGTGCTAAACAAAACGGATCCAGCAGTGCTGTGCAAAAGGAAGGAAACGGAGCGAACGCGTGGGACTCGGGGCCTCCCTCTGGCCCCGGGGTCCTGGCCTGGGGCAGGGGCGGTGGCGGGGTTGGCAGTGTGCATTCTGGAGCCTGGGGCCACCCCAACCGCAGCGCCAGCAACGGTGTCAACGGGGAGTGGGGCAAGCCCCCAAACCAGCATTCCAATAGCGACATCAACGGGAAAGGATCAACAGGGTGGGATAGCTCGAGTGTTACCAGTCCGAATCCTGCCATGCAGCAGGGCAATGAACAAATGAACTCTTGGGCCAAAGCTGCGGCATCTGGCACCACGGCTAGTGAAGGAAGCAATGACAGCGGTGGGAGTCAAAATGAAGGCAGTACTGGGAGGGAGGGGGCTGGAGAGGGCAGGAGGAGAGACAAAGGGATGATAGACCAAGGGCAAGTTCAGTTGCCAAGAAATGACCTTGACCCCAGGGTCCTGTCCAATACGGGGTGGGGACAGACCCCTGTGAAGCAAAACACTGCCTGGGAATTTGAAGAGTCCCCAAGGTCTGAACGGAAGAATGACAATGGAACTGAGGCCTGGGGTTGTGCAGCTACTCAATCTTCAAACTCAGGGGGGAAGAACGATGGGTCCATCATGAACAGTACAAATACCTCTTCAGTATCTGGGTGGGTCAACTCTCCACCGGCAGCTGTTCCAACAAATACAGGTTGGGGAGACAATAACAACAAAGCACCAAATGGCCCAGGGGGGTGGGGAGAGTCAGCAAGCTCTACTACTGTTAATAATGCTGCTGCTGCCAAAAGCGGCCACGCTTGGAGTGGGACCGCAAATCAGGAGGACAAATCACCTACCTGGGGTGAACCTCAGAAACCCAAATCTCAAAACTGGGGAGATGGACAGAAATCAAATCCAAGCTGGACTTCAGGAGGTGGAGACTGGACAGATTCATCATCTGTTCCCGGACACTTGGGTGATGGGAAGAAGAATGGATCTGGATGGGATTCTGATAATAGGTCAGGGTCTGGCTGGAATGATTCCACAAAGTCTGGGACCAGTGGGTGGGGGAATGGCACAAACAGCAAGGCTAATACAGGTACAAGTTGGGGGGAATCTTTAAAGCCAGGCCCCCAACAAAATTGGGCTAATAAACCCCAGGACAACAATGTGAGTAACTGGGGAGGAGCTGCTTCTGTAAAACAGACGGGGTCAGGGTGGGTTGGTGGGCCAGTGCCAGCCAAACAAAAAGAGAACTGTGAGGCAACTGGCTGGGAAGAGCCATCTCCACCGTCCATTCGCCGCAAGATGGAAATCGATGATGGTACCTCAGCTTGGGGCGACCCAAATTACAACAACAACAAGACTGTAAACATGTGGGATAGAAATAATCCTATAATTCAGAGCAGTACCACAACCAACACCACCACCACTAGCACCATTATCAACACCAACATGGTTGAACCTCAGCCATCGCACCAGTCAAGTGCCCAGCCGAACCGGTCCCCGCTGCTTGGCCCAGGTATGACAACAGTTTTGTGAAATACTTCATAAAACGGCTTTATGAGATACTTTTTACCACTACCAATTGCTGAATGCTGTTTGTCCTATTGGTGTGTGGGGTAGAAATCCTGTATTTATGTCCAGAACAGGCTTGTTCTTTTCCTCTGAAGCAGTCTCGTCTTGAGGACAGAATCCATGGAACCTGACACAAATTTCTGTAATCCAAATGAATGTAAGAAAGGCTTGAAACAGTATTTGGTCAGTAGCGTGGTAGGTTCTTAGATTGTGGATTCATATTTATTTTAACATCTCTTCCACAGTTACTTAACACCTTTTAATTCAGCCATTTGAGAGGCTGGGGAGTTTTGGCAAACCTTTCTTCTGTTATTTGTCTGCTGTCCCCACTGCACAGGCTCGGTGTATTTAGACAGTCTGCATCTGTTTCTTTTCTGGAAAACAAATCTTGGCAACAGATGTTTGTTAACAATTGCATGAATTTAGGCTGCTGCTGTTTCTCTGTCCAGTTTGTTGTTTTTTATGAAGAAATGGTTCTCAGGGGTCAGGCACAGGCAGCATCCTGGATTTTGTGTGGTTTTCAAAAAGCAGGACTGGTTCAAGATGTTAATGTTCAGGGTGGCTGAAGTTAGCTTATCCTAACTTCAGCTGTGTTTCAGCATTTAGGTTTTAGGCATTTAGGAATTTTCTAATCAAAGGCAAGGTGCTGTTGTTGACAAGCAGCAAGGAATAAAAAACGTGTAAAAAGTGGGAAAAATGCTTAAAAGAGAGATATTTAAATAAGTTACACTAGTGGCCCCTATCTATATAATGACCACAGACCTCTCCAAAATAAATTTAATCATGCAGTGCTCTTTCAAATTCTCCATCTGAGTTTTGTTTCCAGGTTTTTGTTTTATTGTGGTCATGGCTAAGTACTGACTTTTTAACCATGTTTTTTTCCAAGTGGGATTTGCTCTCATTCCCATCCTTTTTCTCTTTGATGTTTTGGAATGATTCAAATTTGCTTTAATGTCTGTGTAAAAATAGTATTACATTCCCCATTCTGATCAAATATTTTAACAGTAGAGGGTACCTATTTTAATAAAATAACTCACTCCAGAAGGAGAAATCTTTAAATGGCTTTGTACTTGGTCAGCCCAACATATGTGACTAGCTTATTGAAGCTATATTTAAAACTTTACCCATGAAACAAGAATTCAGATTCCTGAATTGTAATGGAAGTATCATGGAAGTGGATCTTTGGTTGGGTTTGGGTGAGGTTTTGTTTTTCATGGAGGTGATTTTTGGAGGATTACATTGGTGCTTATAAACCTCTTCATACACAGCAATGCATTGTTAATGTTATTCAAATAATTAACACCTTATAGAGGAAAACTTAACAATCCTGAGCCCTTCAGATTTTGAAAATGGAATTTAAAAGCTGGTGTTAATCAGCAGTGATTCCTTTGAAGAAAGGACAATAGCACAGGAAGGGTTTATTTGAAGCAGTATGTTTCCATATTCAGAAAGCTGCCTATGAAAGGTGCCCAGCCTGCTCAAGCTGCCCCCTGACCAGGTTAAAGTGAGTGTTGGGCTTCTTGAAAAATGTGAGCTAGAAAGATTTTAAGATCTTTTAAGATAAGCAAGTCTTTCATCTTCTCTTTTTCTTTTAAATTTTCCAAGATAAGCAAAGCCAGCTCTCAGAATATACTTAAGTCAGCATGCAAGAAAGTATGAAATCAGTAATAGTGAAGATTAATTAAAATACGGTTCTGATACTAAAGTTTAGATCAAGTTGTAGCAGGCATAAATTTATCCTTATGTATTTTTGCTCCATACACTTAATACAGTACAAGTATAAAGGCCAAACATGGAAATATTTGGAAGGATTTTTGTCTAAATGGAAGCGAGGAGCAGTCAGTCCCCTGTGTCCTGAGCTCTGTCCGTGTTTACTGGTGACTGTGCCAGAGAGGGACCATTCCTGTGCTTATCCCACCCTGAGAGCAGCAGTGCAGTTCCAAGTGGTCCCAGTGGACTGGACTGGACATCCAGTGATGCTGGACTCCCTTTGGGGAGTGCAGGAGGCCCTGTTTTCCCAGAGCAGGCAGCACATGGCAGCTGCACAGCAGCATCCTCACGGTCTGGGTGGGAATGTACACAGACCTGAAACATCTACAAATCATCTCCCAGCTGGGACAGCCAAAACATGGCAAGCAAGTAGTGAGTGTCTTCCCTCCCACGCAGACAGGGCCCTGCACTTTGGAGCTGTGCTGTTTAACTCTTTTTCCTACTCCAATTCCCTCTCCACTTGGCTGTGTGTTCCCAGCCTCTGCAGTGAGGGAGACAAGAATCCTGTGACCAGGAGACTTCTGCAATCCACAACCAAAGTTCATCCAGCAGCAGCTCTTTTCCATGCAAGGCATGATTGTGTTATTAGAGCCTGTGCTGTAGGGCACAGTTAAATGCTCATCTAAAATCTTAAAACTCTTGAACTCCATAGTTACCACGGGCATTTTGTCACCTGTGTGGGTCATGACGTGTTCTGCCAGTCATATTCAGGGAATATAATGAATAAGGAATCATGAATTCCACTCCTGTATAGGTAGGGAGGAGTGGTGCAGATGGAAGTTGTCACTGTCACACATGCTGCAAGCAAAGAAATGGATTTTAATTTTGCCACACAGCACTAGTTAGGGCTTCACAAAGGATTAACAGTCCCTTTTGGGATTGAAGTTTATGCTTTATTAGTTTGGAAATAGAGGCCAAGTTACAGTCTTGTTATTAGATTTGTCACCCATCCCCAGAAGTTCTCCAGATCCTTTGAAGGCAGGCTTAAAAGCCATTGATGGGAAGCAGATGTTGGTAAACACTTGATGAAAATGAAGAATGCTCTAAGGAGTTCCATTTTCCATTGGAAAAGAAGGGGAAAAAAAGAGGGGGGAAAGGGATAGATAATGTGATAGATACAGTCCTTGCTGGTTATAGGAGTTTGTTCTCAAGGCAGTGGTGAATTACTTAGAAAGATGAACAGAAAGCTGGTGGGTTTGAGTTAGATTGGGGTTTAATCTAAATTACTTGTGCATAATTCTTCTAGCACTTCTAACTCACGCAGCTTTGATATGAGGGGAATAAGAAGTGAGAGAAAAGGTTTTGCAGACAGAAGCAATTAAAAGAGATTTTTGGATCCCAAACAGCATCAGATCCTTCATCCAAGTGCTGAGGAGTGGGCTTGATGCTTTCCTGCTCTCATTACATCAGGAGAGCCTGGCAGGGTTCCAGCATCCTCCAGCTGAGGAAAGAAACAACAGAAGATAACACAGGCTTCCCTGTGGGGATTCTAGGTCACAAATTAAGGTCTTTGTGGTTACTAGAGAGTGAGGAGCTTAAGTTTTAAAAACCTGAACTGGGTCTAAGTTCTGAAAGCTCCAAACATCTCTGTTCCTTTTACAATCCTGTGCCACCAAGTGGCAGCTCACATGACAGTGTTTGTCTTTGAGCTTCCATCAGAATGGATTTGAAAGCAGCTCAGCTTTGGGCTCCTTTAGGGTGCTCATGTGAAAACCTAAAACCCTCTGGTGGGTGCTCAGCCAGGTTCTGGGGGGCAGCCAAGTGATGCTGAAGAGAGCTGCCCTCAATTTTCACACAAGGGTGATGTCACTGCTGAAACCCAAATTAGAGCTTTCTGAATGTTCAGTGATGAGCTGGAATCCCTTTCAAAAAATGAGAATTTGAAAGATTAAGAGTTGTAGGTGGCTCTTAAATTTATATATAAAACCCACAGTAACTAGTGTGTAATTAGTAAACAACCTCTTTTCTGCCTAATGTCTTCCTTTTTTATCTAGATAAGGTTCTAATACTTTGGTTTGCCTGGATTGTGCTCATGTGCTCTGGTATTTATCACGGACCAACAACTTGAAGGAAAACAGTTTATGCCATCCAAATAGCTATAGGGTTATTTTCAGGGAAAACAACTGCATCCTGCCACAGCTTAGTTAACATTTCACTTTCCCTTGAGGATTTCCTGTTGGCTGTGACCCAATGTTAATTATGTTTTTATTTCTATAAAACAAAGCTCTGCCAATGTGTCCATGTTTATTACTCACTGTGATCTTTTCATTTCTTGCAATTCTAAGAGTGTTTAAAAACTTCAGTACTAAAACCTCATTTTCTTGCCAAAGAAGCCTTTAAACAGAGCACGTTCTGTTGTGAAATAACATTCATGCAGATCTGGGTGGGTTTTAAGGAGATTTTTACCAGGAGAGCCTGAATCTATATTATTTTCATCAGAAAATAGGAAGTTTTTTTGAAGCAGAACTTTTGAAAATGCGTGGCAGGTTCAGGTTTTGAGACCACTCAAAAGTCTTGGTTTGCCTTTCCAACAGCCATGGAGAGTTTTGCATCATTTCTTCAAAAATGTAACTTTAAATATCCTAAAACAGAATAATTTGGAGACATAGAAAGATAGCACAGAGACAGTAGCCTTGGGTCAGCAGTATTTGCCCAGATGGGAAGCAGGTTTGCAATTGAGAAGTGCTCTGGAATTTACAGACAAGGTAGTTTTTGCAGTGCACAGGTTTTTTCTCCAACAGCCTTCAGGTTTTATTTATTAATTTCCTGCACTTAATTTGATCTGTTAAGATAAAATAGTTTTGGAAAACTTTTTGTTGATTTATTTTGTTTGCTTTTATGTACTTGTATTATTTTCAATTAGTAAAGTCTGGTTCCCCCATTATTTGTAATCCCATATTATTTCCTGTTCAATACATTTAAAAGCACTTAAAATAATTTGGACATTACACATCTGTGGCTTTTAGTTGAAGTTGTTGAATTTATAAGAGCAACAGAGGAACAAGGGTTTTTTTGAGGTTTTTATTCTATAACATAGCGCACTTTGGCTTTTTAATATATAAATTGTGTTTTAAGAATGATATCATAAATTGAATTAGGTAGAGTTTGCAGCAGAGGTTGCATGAAGTCAGGGAGATGTTAGTACTCTGCTTTGCAGTCTGGTTTGTGCTGTGGAGATGTTTTGTTTTCTGTTTCATTTGCCTGCAGTTAATCTTTTTCAGCTGCCAATATGATTAAATACACGCAGTTGTCTGCCAGTTGCCTCCTGAGTAGTGAGGCAGAAATTCAAATAAAGCCTTCCTAAATAAAGTTGGCTTGAAGATACAAGCAGGAACCTTGAAATAAGCATTTCAGGTGCAGCATCAAGGAAGCTGTCATGTTAAGTACAGGTTCATTTAGGTACATCTGTGGATCTGCCAGTTTATCTTCTTTACACACCTTAAAATAACCAGAAATGTAAGGTAGGTTGATCGAGCCTAAAGCACGGTATTTTTGTTTCAAATGGAAATCACTTGAATGAAACAGTGACATTCTGGGTTGTTTCAGGAGCTTTCTTTAAATTCAGTGCCTGTTGCTGGCAGAGGAGGAGTTTTGTGAAGCTGCAACACACCACTGGAGAGTTTGGCCCTGGGTTGTGCCACCTGCACTTGCATCAGTGTCTGAGGGAAGTGAAGTGGCTGTGAGGAATAGAGCCTAAAATAAATATGTAATGCAGGAGCAGGGAGCAGTGCACAGCTCTGGGCCCATCTCTTTGATTGTTTTCTCTACCAGGCACTGTTTGAGTTGATATTGGCAATGGATGTTGCTGCAGTTTCTGGTAATGGGAATTCTGTGGAACGCAGTGAGGTCTGCAAGGACCTGGTGCTTGGTGAAACACTATAGTTTGGTTATTCCAATGTATTTCAAGGTACACTCCCTTGCCATTGCCTACCAATTCTGGTCAATTTCTGGAGAAAAATGTTGCTCTTGCTTTTTGAAACCTTTCCAGAGTATTTTTACAGATACCATTGTGGAGCAAAAAAAGGAAATAGTGCTGTGGCAAAGCAGCATCTGGTCATTCACTTCCAAAATACTCATCTTAATAACATTCATCTCCAATGAAAAGGGAACAAGTTCCTGATTTAGCAGCCTAATTACCAGCTGAAATTTTAAGCAGACTGAATTCTACAATATTTGTTGAGATCTCAGCTGTCACATAATGGGATGTAATTTTTTTTTACAATTATGGAAAAATAGGTTAGTGTCAGGTGTCTATGAGAATTTTGTTCTCTTGCTTGTCGTGCCTCTCTTTGTGCATGTTTACAAAGTACCTTGAACTCCATCTGTGATTCAAGTCCTCTCTCCAGAAAATCTCTGGTACTGATGGTTGTAAATTGAGTTTACCCTTTTGCAGAGTTGGGCAGTGTTGCTCTGTAGGCTCAGGAGCCCTGTGGCTGTTCTGCCACGTTCAGCTGCAGGGCTAAAATCCTGTCAGGTGGATTTAAGCGCATTACATTCAAGCCAAGCCAGACTAAGGCTGTTTCTTTGGAGTAGCTTACGTCTTCAGTGAGTTCATGTAATACTCTGTAGGAAAACAATGGCTTCTACCTGCCATTCCCTGTGGTTTGATTACGGTTCCTAATGGCAGTTTTGATTAGTTGCCCTTAAAATAATATTTGTTATAATGTAGAGGGTCAGTGATGAGGGATAGGGAGGTGACCATGAGCTGTAATTAAATCTTTAAGGAATACATTCAGCACAGATAATCTTCACTCAAAGTGGGAACAATTAAAGAGCATCTTACTGCCAGGGCACGAAAAAGAGATTTTATAGTCTGAAAACAGTGAGCAGGAATCAAAATAGGTTAAAATCTTTCAGGGAAGCAAAGCCCAGCTCAGACTGGGGTCCTGGTCTCTGCAATGCTGTCCCTGGGCCCAGTGTGGTGCTCACTTGGCAGCCTGGCTGCTTCTGGCTGTGGAGAAAAACCCTCTTTCTGTGTTGACAACTTGGCACTAAGAATTAAGAAAAAACTCTTGAGACCAAATTTAAGGGATTTTTTAAAAACACATTTAACTCCAATCACTGTATGCACTTACTGATTCATGCTCTTTCCTGAGTAAAAAACTCGAGTAAAATTTAAAATTCTTTGGAATTAATTGATGAAGAAACCTTTCCTCTCATCACTCTTCTCCTTGCCTTGCTCCAGCAGGCTGGGGAGAGATGCCTGCTGTCCACAGCAAGAGCGAAGCTTCCTGGGGAGAGCCCTCCTCCCCTTCTGCTGCAGTTGATAATGGCACTTCGGCGTGGGGGAAGCCCCCCAGCAGTGGCACCGGGTGGGGAGAGAATCCTGCCGAGCCAGCAGGGACCTATGGAAGAACAAACGCTCCAGCTGCTGCCCCAGCACTGTGCAAACCAGGTACACACGGGCTGCCACTGTCCTGCCAGGGGAAGGGGTTTGCTTCTGCCACTTCTGCTTTTCTGTGCATTTCAGTCACAGCCTGTCCCTGTGGTTTCATTCTCAAAGCTGTGTTAGCTGTCACAAGGCCACGTTAATACAAATACCCAAATAATTCAAAAATATTAATTTTGCACATCCATCTGTAAATATAAAGGAGAGTATTTTTGTGTGTTTGGGAAGCAGCATAGCAGAGGTACAGGAAACTGAAACTGAAGAAGAACATGACTAGGACTTAAACCCTTGGTGTCTAAAAGAAAACCTGTATTGGGATGAGAAGCAGTGGAAAACAGCCAAGATAGAATTGATTCTGGTAGGAAAAGCAACACTTGAGAACCACTCAGTCATAACAACCTCATGTTGGGTTAAACTCAGTGGGTGTTTTCTTCAGCCATTAAAATGGTTGCCAGGTTCAGGAACATCCTGAACTCTGCTTCCTGCTTCGTGATTCCTAACTCATGGTATTTGATAATATCCTCCATCTCTGAATGTCCTGAGAGCCATGGTGATTGCTTTAGAGACTTCTTTTGGCTATTGAGGTTGCCTAGAGTTTCATTCCTACAAAATACCATAGTGAGATGCAGTTAGAAGTCCCAGAAAACATAAAAGGAGGAGCGAGAGCTCTTAAGATGAGTAATCCCAGCTTTAAACAGAGTAAACAGAATAAAATGGACTGAGGTGACACAACCTCGTCACTGAATATGAAGCATTCCCTGCAGCCCACGAGCTTCTTTCAGGATCCATTCTTTGAGATGGGAATGAGTTTCTGAGCATGAATGACTTTGAAATTTGGGTTGTTCATGGAAGAATGTGGTAGGTAAAATGGTGAGATTCATTGAAAGCAAAATAGCACTTAACAAGTGTGTGATCATACTTTGGTTCCTTGTTCCTAGGAGAGTGGAGTGGCCATGACCACAGATCTTACTGGTTCTGGGAAAAGCAGGACTTGCTGGATGTATTCTTCTCTGAGTATTTAGAGAACTTTCTTTTTTTTTTTGCTAGCTTCAAAGAGGACCTTCTTATCATTTTAATGCCAATTAAGCTATTTGATGAGCTGCTTTATCTCTTGAAAATACTCATGCTAACACATTGGATATGGTACAAAAGGCTATTTCTGAAAAATTTGCAGGAAACTGAATAAGATTTTTCTTCTTCTTTCCTTCCAGCTTCAAAATCTATGCAAGAAGGCTGGGGCAGTGGTGGGGATGAAGTGAATCTCAGTACTAGTCAGTGGGAAGATGAAGAAGGAGATATGTGGAATAATACTGCTTCACAAGAGAGCAGCTCCTCCTGTAATTCTTGGGGGAATGCCCCGAAGAAAGGACTTCAAAAGGTAAGACAAAAATAATGACACTCTTCAGCAAGAGTGGAATTAGCATAACATTTGTAGAATAAGTTGTCACAAATTTGCTGGTGCATTACACCTGAAATTAAACCTCTGACATCTGAACACAAGCACAGCTTGCCACTACAGTGGTTCAAGTACAGCCTACCTTGTTTCCAGGGGAAAATGGGAGATCTTTGAATTTAAGCATGTCAGATGCTTCGGGAGTTTTGTTGTTGCCTTTGTTTTCTCTAAGCTTCCATGTATTCTAAAGAAATGATAATGTATTAACAGAAAGAGGAGAAGGTGTTAAGGGGGCTTTCAGACACTTCCCATGGTGGTGGAAAAGCAAACAGTAGTTTGTGATGGAGTTGTTTAACAAAAAAAGCTGTTTTCTATTTGTGAGGACGGTGTGTGTGTGTGTGAGAACAAAGCGAACTTTGTGTTAATGCTGCATTCAACCAAGAACGTAGACAATTGTGTGAGGAAATTTTCCATTGCACAGTCTTTATTTCAGGACAAGGCCAGGCTGTAACTTAAAGGAATTGGGAATGCATTTAGCCACTTTGTTTGTTATTCCATTAGCCAACAGTTAGGCCGGTGATTTGATCAAGTATGGTTGTTTCTTGTACTGTCCGCAGCCCAAAACAAATCCGCGCTTGTCCCTTGGTACTTTCTGGAGAACTGAAAGGAAGAGACTTCTTAAGGATTTTGTGATAGAAAAGCTGCACAGAGATCTTTTAAAGGTGTTTATCTAGACGCTCTTGTTTGTTTTTAAGAAAATACACTGAGTAACATTCTTAACTTCAAGGTTGCAAACTTGTTTTTGGGAATGTTTTTCAGGAAGTGTTGTACTATTTCAGCTTTATTTCGTTATATTTTTCTGCCAAGGATTAAAATGAAATCTGTAAATTCAAAGGTGGCTTTAATTCAGTGGCCAGCAAATCAAATACTAAATAGTACACTGAACACCTATTCAGCTGAGATAAAATTTTACACTTTTGGGGGAAGAGAATCGTAGTCGCGTTGCTCGGAGGGTTCTTCAATACTTTCTGAATTAATGTACTAATACATCTTTCAGTAGCATGTGTTATTAATAAAAACCACTTACCATTTCTTTTATGTACATCTCACTACAATGAACGTGGCAACCAGCCCATTAATGGAATCTCCCATTTATTTACTAAGGGCATGAAGACATCTAGCAAGCAGGATGAGGCCTGGATCATGAACCGTCTGATAAAACAGCTCACAGACATGGGCTTCCCTGTGAGTAGTGCTCAGCCAGCACACTGTGCCTTAGCATTTAGCTTGTACTTCTGACTGTGGCTGTTTCAGACTGTAGCTACACCAACATCTTCAGTGTCCAGGCCAGGAAGTAGCTTTGACCTGCATTTAAACACATTCTGTGATTTCAGAAATCTGCTGTAAACCTGTAGAGTGCTCTGAGATCAACTGGGCATAAACTTTCCATGAGGACATTTATAATATTTGGAAGTTTGTAGTTTTATAACAACAGGTATTACTTTGAACTGCAGTAATAATGCCCTTCCATTCCTCTTTTTTTATGAAACAGGCAAAATGAGAGTATAGCTGGGTTGTTTCTCAGAGAAAATCATATCATTGTGATATTTGAGTTGCTCATGGAAAACAGGAAGATGTTTAAACACAACAGTGTGTTTCACCTTGTAGAGCCAGTGCTTCCTTGTCAAACTGAAATACCTGAATTGTGGGAACTGCTGAAAGCAGAAAAAAAAACACACAGACATTATTTAGGCCGCAGAGTAAACATTAAACCCAGTATTTAAGAGATGTGTCTGTTTTCTCAGGTTACTTTGAAATCATATGAATGTGATTACTTTTCCTCTTGACACAATTCCTGTTTTTGACAGAGAGAGCCAGCGGAAGAGGCCTTGAAGAGCAACAGTATGAATCTCGATCAGGCCATGAGTAAGTATCTGTGTAAGTAACTTTTTTGTCTTTAAAGCTACACAGGAACCCTGCATGATTCTGAGCATTTGATTATTTATATTCAGACCAGTTGGATAATATTTATTTTCTTGCCTTCCTGTTGTAAGCAAGATGTATTTCTCTTAACTGCTGTTGGCAACTTTACTCTCTCTGCTTCACCTTTTCCAATGTATTTCCCCTTTCTGTGCAGGTGCTCTGCTGGAAAAGAAGGTGGAAATGGACAAGCGTGGAATGGGAGTGACCGACTATAATGGAATGGTCACCAAACCCCTTGGCTGCCGCCCACCACCAATCTCCAAAGAGTCTTCCATGGACCGCCCCACCTTCCTTGACAAGGTAAGTTCAGCAACAGAAACATTCTGCACGACTCAGAGTGTGCACAGTGTAGAAATACTTGGGATTTTCGCTATCTGCTTAGAAAGCATGGAAAGAAATGTGATGGATATGGCTTTATTCCTTTTCTTGTCTTTTTTCAATCTGTTGGGGAATTCAGTCCTTGTGGAAAGGATCAATGATTTGATTCTCACATAGAAATAAAGAATGATCATGCCCAGTTTTACACTTGAAAACTTGCTAAGGAATCAGTAACACAGTGGAACTAGAAATGGAAAAAAGAGCAAAAAAATTAAGCCACTCTGTGAGAGTCCAGTCAGTGATACTTGCCCAAATCCACAATCAGGCAGGACCAAGGCTAAAATCTTCCAAACATTAGGCTCTTAATTTTTCTTATTTTAGATTTGAGCTTCATAGACATTTCAGTAAAAGTTCAGCAAGGAGGAGCTCAGATATTTTTGTTAAGTCTCAGAGCAGACATGTGCAGTCATTAATAGCTTCTCCAATGAGCTTCCCTTTCTGTGATCACACATGACAAATTTTCCAGCACTATTTAATGACTGAGGAAAAGGCTTCAGAAGCTTGTGGTGTGTCCAGGATTCAAAGCGTCTAAAGAAAAGAATATACAGAAAAGTGCAGCCAGCTCTTCAGTAGGAAATGAGATTTAAAGCCTTGACAGAAAGTCCTGCAGAAACTTACCAAGTCACCTAAGAATCCCCCTGAAAATACTGATAAGAAAGAAGAATCTCAGATGTCATTCTGTATTTCACAGGTTGTTTAAAGGTTCATACAGATGGGTGGTGGAGGATTCTGAGCACAGAAATCAGAATGCTTTTGACAAACTGTGCTGAAACCAATTCATTTCACATGAGCTGTGTACAGGCAGGCTGTGAGGCAGTAATATAAAGTTCATTCTTAGCCATGGCAGACTTTAATGAATGTGTTAATTGAAGGCCACAAAAGATGTATGCATGCCAGTTCGCCTCTCCTTTTCTTGGATAATAATATCTTCAGCAGTAAAGTTCTTGCCAGAGAGAGAGGTGCATTATGTGCAGCATGATGCATAATTCTGGAAACATATGTTAAACACAACTATTGAGAAGGGAGTACTAAAATCATTAATATTCATACAGCAAGTAAAATCTATCAGTCTAGGCATAATCTGTCACAGTGACTTGGCTCTAACAAAGGAAATAATCCCACACTGTATTTGTTAGCTATCACAGTGTTGAGCAACTTGCTAAGTGAATTAAATAAATATAGTTTCTACTCTAAGAACACGGGGTTTTTTTTCCCCAAAGAAATTCTTTCCAGCTTTCCAGCTCATGCCAGCAGAGCAACTCCTCCAAAACCTTTTTGCCCTTTGAGGTATTGTTTTCAGAACATGAGTCTGGAGCTGTCTTGTTTCTGCTTAGGTCATCCTTGGTGAGGAACAAGCTCTCCACACAGCTGGACAGAGCACTCCAGCCAACGTTCCCTGTTTGACTTATTGCTCTGTCAAGTCATCATTCTTTTGTTGGCTTTGCTGAGTCTTCAATAAGTTCTGCAAGGTTCCTCTTGATGAAGTTGTAGTTTGGGTTGGTGTGCTCATTGTTACCACTCTCTCAGCTCACCTGCATTGACACTCTGTCATTTTTCTCTGAACAGCTAAAGCCAGCCCTTACTATTTTTTTTAACTTTATACATTTGAGGAGGAAAAATTTCCAACCCTGACATTTGCTTCTGTACCCACTGAACTCCCTGTTCTCTCTGGATCAGGAGTGGTCTGTGCAATTCAGCATCACCTTTGAGTGTTTGCTTTCTCTGCTTGCTGCAGGTGCTCTTTATTCCGTGTCACACCGAGTCAATCTTTGGCACTTAGTGCTTTGTTAATTTATTATTTCTCAGGATGTTATCTTGACCTGTAGCACCTTAAGAGGACAAGGGAGAAAATCCAGTGACCTTGAGTGAATAAAGATGAAGCCCTGATACCTGATCTCAACCACATCTCACTCTTAGTGGGATGTGTGCTGTGCTTAGGTGTCAGGTTTGCCTGAAAATGTTACTTGGTGTCTTCTGGAGCCATCAGATTTGTAAGAAAAACATGTCAGATTTTCCTGGAGGCATCCTTCAAATACCAGAAATAAGACTAGAGAAGAGATCTTTTTCTTCAAATATAGAGTTTGGCTCTATACCAGTAGGATTTTCTGGGTGTGTCAAGTCCCTTCAAAAAAGTTGAAAGCAGTGCTGAACTGAGCATTAATGTGATGATTCAATTTTTAATTGAGTAGCCTGAGGAAGAAGTGTAGCATAAATTTGTAAGAAAATCACTGAAGAGGAAAGGTTAGGTAGAAAAGATTGTTCTTCAGGAAACAATTATTATATAAAGGATCCTGAGAAATAATGGGTTGGAAACCACTGTGAGCAGTAAAATTATCCTCTAGTCTGGCTTGAAAATGGCTAAAGGGTGCTTTAATTTGACCAACTAAAATACTTCATGTTAAATGAATTGATTTTAGTTCAGTTATAGAGCACAGATTTGTGCAGCATAATGCAACAAGTTCAAATTAAATAAAATAGAACCAGGTGAATATGAACAAAGTGTTATAAACTTACACAAAGCCATCTGCTGCAATTCAGCCAAGGAACACACTTGTAAAGGAGTCTGGAAATGAAATGCCTGAGTCTCCAGTGCAGCTTGTCCTCCACCATCCCTGGCACTGCCAATTTCCAAATGGAATAAAAATAATGTCAGTAAGGCAGGACTTGAATAAATCTGGGGCCAAGGAGGGTCTTTCATGGTCAGTAGGTCTGTTCACATGGGGAACAATAGCATCTGAAGGGGAGAGCGAGCACCAAGCTTGAAATTATTTTCACTTTGAAGGGGGAAGGGTAGAATTGTAAACATATGTCTGTGATCTAAAGAGAAATCCTTGAACCTGTTACTGTCATGCAAGCTGCAGTTGTTTGTGGAGTGTGACTGATGTCCAGTAGAATGTAAAATATCTCGAGCTGAAACGCCTTGGGGATATCATTAGAAAATGTCAGTGTCCCCCTCAGGATAGCCAGATAGGATGTCAAGTGTCACTTTGCCTGATAGTGAAGAAACTTTCCCTTTGCATCAAAGGAGAGCTGTAGAAAATGCATTTTTCAGGATTACCTTAAAACATATAATTCACTGAGCATGCTTGCTGCATTAGGTCATCTGTTTGGGTATGTGGTAAGCAGACTGGGCTGCTTTTTGAACAAAGAAGGTTCACCAGCATCTCACAGTCTTCTGGATTTATTGGATAAAATAACCTAGCTTCTCATGTTTTTAAAAAGCCTTTCCTTGCAATGAACATAGTGCCTGAAAAACACCAGCCCAGCACATTGCAAATTAAAGCTTTTTCTCTCTGCCTGTTTTTTTGGAGCCCTACTTTGTACACAGTGTTATTTGATCATGCTTACCGCAGGCTTCCCAGACATCAAAGCACAGTTTGAGATAGAACTCAGTGCCCCACTGAAACACGAGCAGAGATCTACCTGTTTGATTGGGGCTCTCTAATTTATTTTATTTTCTGCCTCGCTGTTTGCCCCCCGCGGGGGCTGCCTCCTGTGCCTCGGATCCACGCTCAGCCGTGGTTCCTCACAGCACAGTTAGCACCAGAGGCTCCTCCTGCCTTGCTAAAATCTGCCTCCTCCTGGGGATGTTCAGGAAGGCTGCCCAGCCGATATTGTCATGACTGGTTTGATGGTTTGTGTTCGTTGGCTGCCTTGCAGTGTAATGTTTCAGAGTGGGGTATTAATAACTCAGCGCCATGTGAATATTAAAAGAGGCTCGTGTGTCTCAGTTAGGAAAGGGGATTAATGCAAAAATGCTTTTCTAAGAGCAGAGCTATGATGTGGAACCAAATCCAGACTGGTGTCAAATAAGCTGATGTGGCCTTTCCCAAATTTTGGGTTTGTTAAAGTGCTGGTTTATGTCTGTGCTCTGCTGCTGGAGTTTTCCAGACAGACAGAGGACTCTGCTAAAATGTGCTGGGCCTCTCCCCCTTCCACCTTTCAGTCTGGTGGAGAAGAAAGGAGAAAACCTAAGTGGGGAGGAGGCCATGGCCACATGATAGCTCTGCAATCAGCTGCTAAAATTCTTCCTTTCCTCTGGAAAGGTGGGTGAGGGTGATTGAGCATTTGGGGATTAAATGCAAAAAAGTTATAAAAAGCAGTACCTTAATCCTGTTTCTCTCTTTCTTCTCCCTTCACTCCATACTTTCCATTCCTGTTATTCATCCCTTTTTTTTATATATCTCTTTTTATTCATCCACACCTTTCTCTGTCTCCATGGGACACTGTTTTGTGCGCTGTGGGCTCCTGGCACCGCACACAGCTCACCCTTTCTTTCTCCAATCAGGATGGCGGCCTAGTGGAAGAGCCCACTACTTCACCATTTTTGCCTTCACCAAGCCTGAAGCTCCCCCTTTCAAACAGTGCACTCCCTAATCAGACCCTGGGCGGGATTGCCTCAGGGCTGGGCATGCAAAACTTGAATTCTTCTAGACAGGTAAGGCTGTTGGGAGAGATCCCCAGGGGAATTTCGGCTCTCTTGCTGTAGCTGCTAGTGCCTGTCAGCCTCTTCCCCTGGAAAAATGGATTTTAACTGGAAGTGCAGCAGCTTCGTTCATGTGAAATATCAGAAGAGTTTACCTGCTGTGTAAACATTTCACCTTACAGGACATAACAGAACTGTGTGGTTGTAATTACCTGTTGATGACACTTATCCATCCAGAAGAGACTAGTGTTGTGGATTTATACCCTGAACCCCAGTGTGGCTCTGCCTTCACTTATCTTCACAAATGAGATGGGAAATCTCATTTTTTGAGGCATTGCTAATTGTCACGGACTTTAAGGCAGTGAGATTGCTCTCATTCATTTTTCCTGGCTGGTATAATTATTCTGTGATGAGATGGGGGAGAAGTGATGGAGGCGTTTTTATTCCTGCTCCAAGTGTCAAGGCATCTCATAGTTTTAATGGGTGGCAAGAGAGAAACTTCGCTTCCAGCACCTGGGTCAGGTGGAGCATTGAGTTAAAGGGGGTGTTTTGGCCCCTAGGTAGAACAGGCTGAGAGGGAAAGAAAAGGAGAGGAGCTGAAGGGGGAAACTCATAAACCTTCATGAAAGTGAGAAGCCATAAAGTACTGTTGATTATGACAAAGTTATTTTTGCCATCAAGCTGAAGTCCCAAGATACAAAGTGACAGCACAGAAAAATTTTGTCATTCTGTTGTGGCTCTGTATTACATATATTCTTTTAAAGTCAGTTTTCTTTAAGCAATACTTGTCCAACACTTAGAGCCCATTAAACACATCTTTCCAAAGCAGTCTCCACTAATAGCATGTCCATTATCAGTAGCTTTGTAAAATGACTAAGTAAGAAAACAGCTTGGCCAGCTGGAGGATGGGGTTACTGTGGGTTTAATGCCTCCATTCTCCTGTCCCTTGCTATACAAGTACCAACATTTTGAGCAAGTACTTTTGATTGTTCATCTTGTGATGAACATCCAGGGTTCTGCATCCTTATAAAAGGCATCTTCAGCTGCCTTTTGTTCTGTACCAAATTTTGGGGCTTTGGGTTGGGTACACAGCAATCTTTGCCCTGCCCCATTCTAAACCTGGTTTTCAATACAGTTTGTATGTGCTGGTCTCGTGATTTGTGCCTGTTGTAATCACTAAGAATAAAGCCTGCACAGCCAAGTGACAGCCAGGTTATGTGCTGAGTGGTGTTATTAAGTGCCTGTGTCACTGTTGTCCTGCTGCAGATACCGAGTGGCAATCTGGGTATGTTTGGCAATAGCGGAGCAGCACAAGCCAGGACCATGCAACAGCCGCAGCAACCGCCAGTGCAACCTCTTAATTCATCCCAGCCTAGTCTTCGTGCTCAAGTGCCTCAGTTTCTATCCCCTCAGGTCAGACAACACCTCACTCATACGTTTTCCCTTTCCCTGGAACTCTTCCCATGTGCTCTGTCGTGCTCCTGAGGCTTCGCAGCCACTGCTGCCTGGCCGTGTCTGTGGTGTTTGTTCCCTAGGCAGGAAGATGTGGCATGGCTGAGGTGTTCTCACATGTACACCATATAATTACCTCATTCTTGTGCTTCTTTTTGCACAGTGGTGTTTCTGAGGTGCTTTTCTCATCTCTTATGTTTTTATAAATGAACATTTGATAATAGTTATTACAATTGTATTAGAGCCTCTTGCTATTTTTTTTGATAGTTCAAGGTATTACTTCTAGTAATAGTAACATTTGCTGGCTGATGTGACTGTATTAATAACTCACACAGTTGCCACTGCTAAAAATAAATGTAAAATGTTTAACACTCTTCTCTTCTTTAGGTTCAAGCACAGCTTTTGCAGTTTGCAGCAAAAAACATTGGTCTCAGCCCTGCACAGTTAACCTCGCCAATTAATAATCCTCAGCATATGACGATGTTGAACCAGCTCTATCAGCTGCAGCTGGTAAGTTTAAAGACATGACAGATAAGCTCTAAATCAAAATTGAAGGCATGAAGATAAAATAGGAGAATGACTAAATTTTTAAATTACATGACAGATCTTCAAAACAATCAGCTGCTGATTTCTTTGGTGGAGTTTCTTTTTAAAGAAACACAGTCTTTTTTTTGCCTCAGGCTTTATAAATAGTCATTTGTGGAATAATTATCCTTTACAGCTGATCAGTGGAACTAAAAGTCAGTTGTCTTCCTACTGGTATGAATAACACAGTGTGTTCTCAAACAGCACTGGCTGTGTTACATGTCAGTAGGAAGATTAAACTGAACACATGTGTCACAACATAACGAGAGAAATCTTGGCAGTGCTGGTCACCTGAGTTACCTACAGGACTTCTTCACTTGCCTCATTGTAAAAATAAAGTATAAGGTTAATTTGTTTTAATTAATGGAGTGTATATTAAACACGTCATGTGATAAGAGCTACTTCTGTGTGCTTCTGCTGTGTTTGCAAATTTTACATGGATATTTTTAATGCATATGAAAATGCTTAATTGGATTTTAAGAATATTTTAAAAAGAGATACTGTGAACTCAGTAATGGCCAGGGGTAAACATAAAATTACAGAGGAGGGACTAGTTCAGTTGCTGGTCTCAGTGTGCTAGTCAAACTCTTTTATTAGTAGCAGTTTTTGATACTATTACTCATTTCTCATTTCATTATTTTCTCTAGTCTTGAGGAACAGAACATTAGTCTCATAATAATTGATCAGTACCCAGCTACTTGAAAAATACCTGTATAACATTCTTTTGGACTTTGAATTCTTGTGTTTCAGAGAAACTTACCTTAAAGAAATTTGCTGCCTAGACAGCTACTTGAAAACTAGATTTTCTTCACGAGTAAAGCAGCACAAGTGATTTAGCTACAAAGTGCTGGCAGAACTCAAAATGACCAAACCAAAAATAGCAATTGTTATTTATACTATTTGTATAATATTATAAACTTGTATTTTAATTCTTGCTTTGTGTTACAGTTATTTCAGAAAAAAAAGTGAGTTCCTATCTTTAATGACCATTTTGGGTCATTAAAGGAATTTTGGTCATTAGGAACCAAAGGCTCCTACCTTCAATGACTTTTTGCCATGTGGAACATTCAATGACTTTTTGCCATGTGAACTTAGTATTTTTTTTTTAATTTTTTAAATGAACACTCAAATACATATATTATAAAATACATTTGTGACAGGATTATTACTGTTGCTTCATGGAGTGTTTTCAGAAGATAGCAGAACATTTTCTGTGTTGTGGTGCAGCAGAGCAGTTGAAGGGGGTTGCTGTGTGTGCTGTGTGTGTGACCTGTCCCTGTCCCCACAGGCGTACCAACGTTTACAAATCCAGCAGCAGATGTTACAGGCTCAGCGTAACGTTTCCGGACCCATGAGACAACAGGAGCAGCAAGTAGGTGTCCCTGCCAGCTCAATCTCTGCTTTAGGGTTTGGTTTCAGTAGCTCAGAGAGGCTCAGTGACTTTACATCAAAGCAGCTAAAATCCTTAAATCAGGAGTGCAGTGCGTGCCTTGGGTGCTGGACAGGGAAGGTGCTGAGTGATAAAGCTGATCCACAGCCTTGCTGGAGGAAAGCTCTTCAGCCCTTTATGCCCAGTTTGTATTTGTAGGGAGATGCAGTGTGTTATTTCACTGTAGGGAAAGGCAGAGAAATGCAGTGTTTTTGTGGATTGAGCACTGACAGTTGTTTGTTGGCTCTCTCCCTGCAGGTTGCACGTACAATCAATAACATGCAGCAGCAGATCCAGCAGCACCAGCGCCAGCTGGCCCAGGCCCTGCTTATGAAGCAGCAGCCTCCCCCTCCACATCTATCTTTGCACCCCTCTGCAGGCAAATCAGCCATGGATAGCTTTTCACCCCATCCCCAGGCTCCCGGCCTTCCTGACCTGCAGACCAAAGAGCAACAGTCTTCACCGAACACCTTTGCTCCTTACCCTCTTGGTGAGTGTCCTCCTACAGCAGCTCCACCAGGGAGTCCATCTCCTTAATTCACATCTCCAATACTGTGCTCCACAGTGTAACAAATACAGATATAAATCTATATATAGATACATAGGTAAAATAGCACTGAAATGACAAATAAAGCTGTGCCTATGTGGTAGCTGTTATCTGCTCACCTGTGTTCTGCCTACAAATATCCAAACAGAAGATTCATTAATTAACTACTTACATTGTTGCTATACACAAATGTCATGTTGATAAACAGGAATATCATCTGGGAAAAAGTTGTGCAAGGTCATCTTTCTGCTGTAGCCAGCACTGACGAGGCATTAGTTTTGGTCAATGTATTTCAAGAAATTTATGGGTCAGTTGAAGTGTAGTGGAGGTGATTACACATTTCAAAAACACAACTGTTCAGGAAAAAATGAAATCCTCTGCTCAGTAGTCTAAAGAGAAGATTTAAGAGACATTCAAGAATTTTCAAAAATGTAAAGGAGAGCTAGGAAGACATTTCTTTCATTTTTTAATGCAAGAGTTAATAAACTTAAGTTGCATAAAAGGAGATGTAGTTAGACATTAAGGATCACTTGGTTTAAGCAGGGTAGAGTACTGGAATAAATTGTCTAGGAAGTTCCTGAAATCATCTTCACTAGCATTTTGTGGTAGGTTAGACATAGATCTGTCAAACATGATTGAAGTCAAAATAATTGATTGGGCCTGGATACAGAGTGAACAGAGCAACCTTTCAGACCTGTTTGCTGTGTGATTGTTTGATGTATGCTGCAGACTTCTTTCATGACATAAAGGAATTAATTTAATCTCTTTGTGACTCTCTTTATGCTGGGTACAATAGAATTTCCAAGCTTTATCTGCCATGCAGCAGTTAAGAAGGTAATTCTGACTGCTGTGGTGAGCTGTTGTGGCTGGGAGCATCAGAAGGCAAAAAAAAAATTGTGAATTAAAGGCCTAAGTCTGAGAGGTTCTTAAGATATCTCAGCTTTCTGTGATCTGCTAACATTCAGGATTATATATCAAAAAAGACCCAGATTCATGTCACAGAAGCATGTCAAAATTATTCCCTAAGTAACAGTCTGAGTGATTTTGTTCTGTGTACACAAAATGGAAGCCCAGTTAGTGCAGAACCTGCTCTGATGAACAGCAGCTGTTTGTCTCACCTTTAATTGGGTCCTTTTGGGGGGGGATTTTAGCAAAATGAAGTGGCAGAGATTGTGGAGGGTGCTAGGGAGACATTAGGAATATTTTAGTTTAGCCATAAAATGGTGCAAACTTGTTTAAACATAACATTCCAGTGCATTCTAACGAGACAAGTGAAGAGACTGCAAGCAGAGGCACTGACAGCATTAAAATATTATCCCTATATCTTGTTTCCCCCACTTTTTAGCAAGGTTTTAACTTTTTCTGAATTCATGGGAGTTCTATTGGTGTTTCATAAAAGCAAAAGTATTTGAAAATGTGCATTGAAAATGCGGCTAATGCATAGAGAAACCTGAAAATCAGTGTTGAGTAATTTCCACAGCTGGATTTCAAACACAACTTTTCAATCCTCAGTTTATGATGGATATCTAAGGATCTCTTTCCCTCTCCCAGCTGGACTGAACCCGAACATGAATGTAAATAACATGGACATTACTGGTGGTTTGTCAGTGAAGGACACTTCTCAGTCCCAGTCTCGCCTTCCTCAGTGGACACACCCCAACTCAATGGATAATCTGTCTAGTGCTGCTTCTTCGCTTGACCAGAACTCCAGCAAGCACGGTAATGTCCCCTGGCACCCCCTGCCAGCCTGGCTTTTGGTGATTCCAGCCACAGTGCAACTGGAATTATTTCCCTCATGTTCCTTTTTTGTGTGAGTGCTCACAAGTGGTTGGTACCGAGCTCCTCTGAGCCCGTGAGATTTTATTTATAGATGATTTCTGCAGTGAAGGGCTTGCAGCTGTCACTCCCTGCATGCAGCAGAGGAATGTTTCTTTTCATGTGCTGAATTTCGTTGCTGGGATCATGGAGTTCAAGTAACACAAGCCTTAAGTGTTGGCAAAACAATTCCCACGATCTTCCCCTTATTCCAGACCTGCTTACCTTCAATCCAAAAAAATTTTACATTGGCTTTCTCCCACAGTTTTTCCAGTATCATCAACCTTTCCCTGAACAAAGTATGATAGATTACATAGTTACTCAGCCTAGAGTTAGGGACACAGACTTCTTACTTTTCCAGAAGTAATTGCTCATTTGTTTGAACACCTTTTTCCTTAACATCCCCAGTATCCTGAGCCAGTTATTCCTTTATTTCCTGTACCAAATTTATTCTCTTAGAACATGGGGCTCTGTTAACTTCATTATATCCTGGATTTTATTATGAGCAGCATGAATTATTTCTTCTACAGCAGTTTTTTATTCTGCAAGTAGCTGCACTGCTGATGCCAAGTTGTTGTTTGATAGTTTGTAGGAACATGAGAACAGCCATTTCAAATCATCCATCCTGTCACCACTGAATGCCTAGGGAAGGATGAGATCAGGGATGTTCCTTGGTATGCTGTCTCAGCAAGTTCCTATTTACCATCAGTGTGATGATTTGAATTACTTAGTCTCCTTTTGGCAGGAATTTAATGCAGAATTCTTTAACTTGAGTGTCTAGATTGTACCAGCAGAGTGTGTCTCAGCTGTAATCCCTGCTGAGGCTTCAGATGCAGTTAAGCTTGGTTTACTGTGTTTGCATTTTAGTTTTCTTTTCATCTTTGTAATACAGAAAGAAAAAAAAATATAAGAACAAAATATATCCTGATGAAATTCCATACCCAAACCCCCATTTCACTCCTTGCAGGTGCTATCCCTGGAGGTTTGAGTATTGGTCCTCCGGGAAAGTCCTCCCTCGATGACTCCTACGGCCGCTATGATCTGATCCAGAACAGTGAGTCTCCTGCCAGCCCACCTGTAGCTGTTCCTCACAGCTGGTCACGTGCCAAATCCGATAGTGATAAGATTTCCAATGGCTCCAGCATAAACTGGCCACCAGGTAACACAATCCAACCCTTGGTGTTGGACTGATGTCCCTAAAGCGCGCTGTTGGGTGGCTTTGAGGAGTCCTTCTGATGCGCAGGAGATTTGGAGAATTGCGACTTCACACGCTTCCCTTTTTATTGTGTTTGGAACAGAGTTTCACCCAGGAGTGCCATGGAAAGGACTGCAGAATATTGATCCTGAAAATGACCCCGATGTTACTCCTGGCAGTGTTCCAACTGGGCCTACCATAAACACCACGATACAGGATGTGAATCGCTATCTGCTCAAGAGTGGAGGTAAACACACTAACTGCTTCCACATCTGTGCAAGCTTTCTTTTCCCTTCCCAAAAAGGGTTGGCCTCATTTGTTACAGATATAACATATTTTTTGCATGTGCTCCTAATTTAATAATGCTTCTGCTCAGAGCTGTCACTAAATATTCAGAAGTAATTGTTTTAAAGGAAGGGATCAAGAAGTTTCTCTGTTTTCCATGGGACTGTAAATATTTTTATATTGGAAAAGGCTGTGAGATGTAATTTAAACTTCTGTGGTCACTGGAAGTTATTTCTAACTTGTATCAAATGGTTTTGAACAAGATTTTGCTCTCCACACTGCCCACCCTTCTCCATACACTTTGTGAAATTCTCAGAAGACTCAATGCAAAAGTTCCACAGTTGCTGCTGAGACAGCAGGATTCAGGTACACTAATTAATTGTAGCTTTGTTAGAAGATCAATGAGCAAAATAAATTAGAACTGCTTTATCTCCCAAACCATGAAAGAAAAAAATTGGGAATTGACTAGTAAACTAGTATTTCCATTCCTTTTGTCTTGGCAGTGCTTACTTCAGAATAAAAAGGGAATTCTCTAAAACAAGAAAGCATTGTGACTGTGCTACTTGTTAGCTACATGTGCTGGAAGTTGATCAAGGGAAAGGTGGCTTGGTTAATTGTGATCTGAGTGCCCAAACAGCCAAGTTATCTGCACTCTGTCAGAGCTCTGCAGCTGGCACAGGAATAGCATAATCAGGCTGTCCAGGAGGAGCTGTCAGGAGGAAAAATGTGGGGTTTGTTTTAACAGTTACATCTGTGATGCCAACACAGATTGTAAATCAGGGCTATCCTTTGAAGTGGGGGTCCAGCTCTGGGCTTGTTACCTCAGGCAAGGGGTGTGAAACATGAGGGAAAGGAATCCAGAGTGTTGATTGCCAGCAGTGATTTTGGTTGTCTTTTAACAGGAAGCAGCCTTTCTTTCAGCTGAAACATGAAGTATTTGGGTAACAAGAAATTGTTGAATTAAGAATAAAGAAGTTGAATTAACTTCTGATGACTCCAGAGTGCTTCCAAGAGATTGGGCAGGTTTGGAGTTAGCAAAAGAAAAGCTGTAGGATGTAATTCAGTGACACTTCAGATACAGTGCATCCAAGAAATGCTCCTCAGGTCAGAAGCCTAAACCTCCAGAGCTGTACCTGTAAAATCAGATGATAACCACTACAGGTATTGCTGCTTTAGAGAAGGAACATTAGCTCTCTTGGTGCATAACCTGCCTGTGGAATGAAGAAATAACTCCTCTCCTTAGAGAGGATCAGTAGAGTCTTTGCAGAGGTAAACAGGCCCTCAAGAGGTCAGACCTTCTGAAGACCAGTGCCTGTGGGGGTCAGTGTGTGCTTCTTTTCCTCATTAGCTTTTTAGCTTGGTATTAATAGAATTTTAATAAAATCTACAGTTGCAGAATCTGTTTATTTATGCTTGTATAACTGCAGCCTGAAGCACAGAGCCTGTGCTGACAGAGCTGCTCCCCAGTTAGAGGGGCAGGCTGTGGGGTGTGCTGTCCATGCCCTGTGCACTTAAAAACAGGCAAAACTTCACCTTTTGAGTCAATTTTTGCTTTGCCCTGTTTGCTAATGAATCTTTGGAGGGTCAGCTTCTATGAGCTGAGAATTGCAGCCATGAGCAATCAGGACCATTTTCAGCTCTGTGGGCCTTTGAATCTGCTATAATTGCATAGTTCCTGCCTGGGGAATAGATTATTTCCAGACAGGGCCTGATCCAGAGTTCTGTTGCTTGCACCTGATGTCTGTGTTGGTGTCCCTTGGAGCACAGGGAGTCTGGTTAAGGTGAAGTTTGGTTGGTTCCTGTTCCAGCTGAAAACAAAGCCTGCATGTTTTATTGAGCTGTGAGGGATGAGATTGTCCTTTTATATCCTCCCTTCTACCTCAACACAGTCCTCTTTGCTACAGAGCTCACCTATTTTTATTAGTCAGTTAAAGATGTTTCAGAATCACAGCCCATCTCTGTGTGTCAGGAATGATAAGTCACCCAGGATACACACTTGATTTTGTTGGTGTCCAGAGAGAATAATTCCAGCTCTCTTAGTCTTTGCAAGGAGGATTTTTGATTTTATGTTCAGTTTCTTTCATTTGCTGCCAGTAAGGAAATTGTACATATGCTTAGATAGCTGCTCAGATTGTAAATGATTTACTGAGGTGGTTTTGTGCTATTTCATTTACGTTATCAGTTTGAGAGAAGATTAGTGAAATACATCTTTGCTTTTACTGAAAGTCTGTGAAAATATAAAGATACTTGTGGGCACTAGGGTATAGGGGAAGTGTTTACATTGAATAATTTAGGACAGATCACCCGTGGTAAGAGGTTAGTTTATCATACACATCTCTGCTCATCAGTTGCCATTGCCTAAGTCAGCTGGCAGAGGACCTTTATAAATGAAGCCTGTTCCTCTGAGACTAAACACTTTAACACTGACTTTTTGAGTCATGTATCTTAAAGGGAATGCAGAATTTACCTTCTGCACTACAGTTGTTCCTGTGCCAGCTTTCTTCTCTTTCCTTCTAAAGACTTCTGCCTCACTCTACCACGCTTCCAGTAACATTTCATTCCTAGACTCCAGAGACCAGGCTAATTCAGGAGAATGCCTTGCATGGTTTGTATCTGCACATAAGAGATTTGCTTATGTCACACCAAACATCATTATGCCCATCTTTCTTAGTTGCTTCTCTGCTGGTTCTGCAGGGTCATCCCCAACATCATCTCAGAATGCCACACTGCCTTCATCGAGTGCCTGGCCACTTAGTGCCTCCGGCTACAGTAGCTCTTTCAGCAGCATTGCATCTGCACCTAGCATTGCAGGTACGGCCTTTCTGCTTCCACAGCTTCTGCATTCCCAGGAAAAGGCCCTAGGGAGTGCTCTCCCAGTGCTGCCAGGAGTGCTGCCCCAGGCAGAAGTGTGTTTGTAGCCCTGTGCTGGGTGGCAGCTCTCCTGCCAGCTGTGTGGTGGATGGTGTGCCCGGGACTGTGCTGAGGAAAAGTGGATTTGATCCCTTTGGTATCACTCAATGATGGCATTGAGATCTCTGGGGGAGGAACACTGTCCAGGACCTCAGCAGGAACAGACCCTTCCAGGAAGAGCTGATGTGAAATTTGTGTTAAAGAATTCACTGTTAAAAGTGAAACATCTTCAGCTCAGAAACAGCTTCAGTAGTACCTCCAAGGGGTTATTTTTGCATGGCTCAGGGGGGTTGGGTTTGGGGCACCTCAGTGTCCTTTAATAGTCAAGCCAAAGCCTGATGCTCCCCTGTGTAGGTGAGCTAAATTATTACCCTGTTTCCTTCACTGAACTCTAAATTCTGGAGCTTCTTTTTGCAAAACACGGAAACTTTGCTTGCAGACTAGCTACCTAAATATGCAGTTTGTCCCATTATAAAATTGTGTTGTGCTGTATAGATGGATAAGAAAATGTTGATCCACTGAAAACCCTGCACTTGTCTGAAGGTGCAGCCTCCAGGTTAGGCTGCAGAATGCAAAACAAAAAGGGCTTGTTTGGGATGTTTTCCTCTGTTGGGTGCCCCATCACAGGCTGGGCTGCTCTGAGCCCTCAGACTCAGACCTGCTCCTCTCCTCTCACCATTTTACACTCATTAATGTCCTCATTGTCATTGTCAAATTGTTTTTGTTGCTGCAATTTGCCAGAAGATGGGAGAGTGGTTGCCCTTTCACTTAAATTGTTATGATTCCATGTGAAATAATTGAGTTAAACAATTTTGATAAATGGAGAGTGTGTGTGTATGTAACTGAGTCTGTGATTTTGCAACTGGTAAATTTGGCTCTGGGACTCACAAAATTCCTCAGTGCCTGCCTGATGTCTTAAAGCACTGATCCAGTATAAACTTAAATCTGCCAAGTCTAGTTTTATAGAAATTCACAAGACCTTTGCATCTTGGGCTTTATCAGACCAATTATTGTTCTCTGCAATCAGCATTAAAACATTAGGGCAACACAGTCACAGCATCGTTTACTGGAGCAGAGGCTGCAGGACTGTGTCCCTCTCAGTCCACTCCAGCCCTCCCTGTGCTGTGATGGGGAAATTGGGCTCTAATTGCACAGCACGTGTTGGTGTCAGGAGGAAAGGTAGGGATTTGTATGTCTAAAGGTGAATAAAGATTTGTTTTGTTATCCATTATTTAAATCAAGTCAGTCTGCCCCTCTGGATGCTACATTGTGTCTGCTGTTCCTGGGTTTGTGTTATTTTGTAGAACTGTGAGCTGGCAGGAGCCAGCAGGTAAGAGTTTGAAAACTGGTCAGGGAAAGAACAAGCAACAGCAGAAAGTTATAAAGACTGACAGGTTGTGGTGTGGTCTGATCTTCTGAAGACTTTTTCTCAAAAATATTTGGAAAAAAGAGTATAGGTTACTTCAAATATTCAGAAATCAAGCTTTTGTTGGTCCTTAATCTTTAGAATTTTAATAATGCATCAGAAGAACATATGGATATACTGAATTCTTTATATTAGGTAAAATGAGTTGTGTTAGAAAAAGAGTTTAAGTCCTATTAAACCTTTAAGAGAGACAATCTTGATAACGTTTCCATATAATTTTGGTGAAATCAGAATTCAAATACCTATGTCCATTTTCTGGACATTTTCCACATATCATCTTTTACAAGAAAATGAAACAATAGATTTTCAAAAGGGAATTTGTAGCAGGTAGTGTGAGGTTCACTAGACACAAAAATACTGGAAATTGTAAACAGTGGTTTCAGTAGGTTCAGAGAATATAGGATTTGCAGCAAGTTGTTCTTTTCCTCCTGAGAAGCTGGGAGGATGTAGCCCACGATAGCCATTAGTGAGGAGTACCCAAATGTGCTGTTTCTCTGTTGCAGGTAAACTGTCAGACATCAAGTCCACGTGGTCCTCTGGCCCAATCTCTCACACCCAAGCCTCTCTGTCCCACGAACTCTGGAAGGTACCCAGAAACACTACAGCTCCGACGAGACCTCCTCCAGGCTTAACCAACACCAAGCCATCCTCCACGTGGGGTGCCAGTCCCCTGGGCTGGACCAGCTCTTACTCCTCTGGTACTCACAGCTCTCTCTTCTGCCTTCTTTCCAGCATTCTCTGCTTCTGCTCTGCGTGTGAGGCTCCAGAAACCAGAGCTGTAACACAGCTGGAGTGGTTCTGCTCTGGGGATGCCTCTCCTGTCTCTTCGTTTCACTTTGAATAAGTTGTAAATGAAGCATCTTTCAGCTGGTCATGTTAGTGATTTTACATAGGAATTGCCTTATTTGTTTAACTCCCAGCTAGGATTTTTTTCCCCAGTTCCTTAATTTCTAAAAATGTCTTTCAAACACGTGTCCTGTTCTGTGGTGTGATCTAAAACTTCTAGAGGAGCCTGTGGAAATCAATATGGAACACATGGATGTGAAGCATTTAGGACCTGATGGTAGTCCAGGGCCCTCAGGGAATGCCTGAATTTTTACATGCAGGCCCCTTTTTTTTTATATACCTTTGTTTGCTTTAATACAAATATGAGAAGCTGTGGATCTGGCTATATATATATATTTAGATATATTTTTCTATATAAATAGAGATATATATGCAAGTATTACTCCTATTTTATAAGGTTGCTTTAATAATCTGCTTACACTAAGTTGAGAATTAAATGTTCTTCCCTCTTCCTGCCATTTATTTTGGATGTTTCTTCACCAAACCCCCACCTGGAAATGCAGATAAAGCTGCTCCCAGGATTCTCTCTGGAGGACCCACAGGATCCACTGTGATTCTCAAATGCCACTCATAAATATGAAACTTGTACAGCCTCTCACTGTAAACCACCAAGCTGCAAAGCACCAGACTGAGGTTGTTAGAGCAGGTTTTGTTGGTTATGTCTTTGTATCTTTAATCAGGGCATTGTCAGTGCAGAAATACCTGTTTTGAATAAGTCATACACATTAATCTGTCATTGGCAAGAGAGCAGAGTGCTGCAGTGCTATAAAAATCTTTATTAGCAAGCAGCAATCTGAGCTTGGACGTCAGAACTGCCTTTAAAATGTGTATTCCAGATTAATTCTAATGCATCCTGAGGATCCAGTTGGTTGCAGTGCCATACCTGCATCTGTTAGTTCCCTTATAGTTACTGTGGGAGTATGAAAAATGCCACAGATCTTTGAAATGTAACAAGAGCAGCTTTTCATTCAGCAACCTTTCCTTCCAAGGGAGGCAGTAAATCAAGATGTGAGGAAAGTGCTGTAGGATTTGTTTTCAGCAGCACTGAGGCTTGTTAGTGTGTTGTGATTCCAGATAAATCTGCCTGTAAGGCACTCTCCAGAGACCCTGATCAAATGTTGTGTTGTGGAATTTGTGTTGCAGGTTCTGCATGGAGTACTGACAGCTCAGGGAGAACAAGCAGCTGGCTGGTTCTTCGGAACCTCACCCCCCAGGTAACTGGAATTGCACAGAACTGGGCAGGAAATGACACTTGCATTTAAGAGATGATGATGAGAACCACATTTAGCAGCCTTGGCCATTTGATTCATTTGAAAGAAGAATAATTATTCTGCATTTATTACAAGTATCTGTCTTCTGCAGGGAATTTGTTAAGTTTTCAAAGTGCTGTCAAATGAAGTATGAACTATCAAGCCTGTAATTAGTCATTCAGTGGGCACCATTTCTATGTGTGTAAGTTTGGAGGTGAATGATGTTGTAAAGCACATACAGAGATGTAAAATCCAATTTTCCTATGGGATTTTTGGGTTCTTCTTATATATTTGTCACATCCTCTACTACCAGGTGTCATTCCAAAAGGAAGAACATAAGCCACAAAGCCTTGGATGCAAACATGTAAATTAATTTGGGGGGAAAATTTAATTACATTTATGAAGTGTGTTTTCCCTTTGATTTATTTCTGGATTTCTGTGGACATCTAATGATAAATATAATTTGTATAACCTAAATTAGGAAAACCTGTGCTCTGGACTGTAGAGAATTCTTAAAAAGACAGGATGTCTCCCTCAATGCAGAGAGCAATAAGTGTGTAATTAAGTATTTCTTTCTTCCTTTCACTTGTACTCACTCTTTAGCTTTTAAACACTTGTTAATTAAGCATTTGAGGCAGGGTCACAATACCACAGGTAACCTTTGGTGCCCTTGCCTCCTCCCAGATCGATGGTTCTACACTGCGGACACTGTGTTTGCAACATGGCCCTCTCATCACATTCCACTTGAACCTGACCCAAGGGAATGCTGTGGTCCGATACAGTTCCAAGGAGGAAGCAGCCAAGGCCCAGAAGTCTCTGCACATGTACGTCTCTGCTCCATCTTTCTTTTGGTACAAAGCCAGCTCTAACTCAGAAAATATTTTCTTAGGCATAACTGGTCACTGGTTACTTCAATCTTGATTTTCAAGATTACCTTATGAGGCAGAAAAAGAGTTAACTGGTGGTTAGATACTGAATAAAAGGGTATTACAAAACTTTATTCAGCAAAAATAATACCCTCAGTTAGGACTTGTCACCTGTAAGGCCACAAAGAATTTGTAGGACATGATAAGGATTCCAAAGGAAGCTCAGGGAGAGCACAGGATAAGGTTTTAGCTTTAGAGAGAAACATAGAGGGTAAAACAACGCTAAACAAGGAATGTGGTCACCTTTTTTTAAAGAAGTTATGAGAGAAGTGTATGACAATAAAATCTGCTTTTTAGGAGTTTTAAAATCCATGGAACTAATTGGCATAAGGGCTGGAGATTTGAAGTGGTAAAATCAGTGCCTTTGGCAGGATGAAGAATACAGAGAGGGATGTTTCAGGAGAATCACTTGGGTATTTAGAGCTGGAAAGCAATTCCCTCTGTCAATGGGTTATGGCATGAGCATAATGAAAGTACTGAGGCAAAGAGAGCATCATGTGGCTGGAGAGCTTCTGTCCTTACCCCTGAAGAGAACTGAGGCCCCAGGGTGTGTCAGTTAGAGAAGGTGGTCTCCACGTGTGTGGATTTGGGTGTTTGTGGATGTAGAAAGGTGGATAGAAAACAGGACAGAGCAGGTTTGGTTGAAGAGACAGGGATTGCTTAGAGTGGATGTGGTGGAAATTTTCACCTCGATTTCAGCTTGGGGTGTGGATCTCTGTCACAGAATTGCTTGGGTTGGGAGGGACCTTAAAGCTCATCCAGTCCCACCTCTGTCATGGGCAGGGACACCTCCCACTGCCCCAGGTTGCTCCAAGCCCCATCCAGCCTGGCCTTGGACACTTTCCAGGGGCAGCCACAGCTTCTCTGGACCCCTGCCAGGGCCTCACCACCTTCACAGGGAAGATTTTCCTCATATCCCATCTAACCCTGCTCCCTGTCGGGCTGAGGCCATTCCCTTTGTCCATAGTCTCTGCCCATGCTCCCTGGAGGCTCCTTCAGGCGCTGGAAGGCTGCACTTAGGTCAGGCCAAACAATCCCAATTCCTGACAGAACACTCCCCAAAGCCCCCTTTGCACCCCCTACCTCACATCCTGCTTGTGCCCTCAGGTGTGTCCTGGGCAACACCACCATCCTGGCGGAGTTTGCCGGCGAGGAAGAAGTGAATCGTTTCCTGGCGCAGGGGCAGGCGCTGCCGCCCACCTCCAGCTGGCAGTCCAACACTGGATCCACCCCGAGCCGCCTGGGCTCCTCGGGCAGCTCCCACGGGCTGGTGCGCCCCGACGCCGGCCACTGGAACCCCCCGTGCCTGGGGGGCAAGGGCAGCAGTGACCTGCTGTGGGGAGGGGTACCCCAGTACTCCAGCAGCCTTTGGGGCCCCCCCAGCGCCGACGACGGCAGAGTCATCGGGAGCCCCACGCCCCTCAACACCCTCCTGCCGGGGGATCTGCTCAGCGGGGAATCCATCTAGGAGACAGAGAAAACAGAATGGAAATAACAATCATCAGCACTAAAGGAAAACAAAACAAAACAAAATTTAAAAAAAAAAATTAAAAAAAAATAATAAAAATTATTAAAAAAAAAAAAAAATAAAAAAAAAAAAAAAAATGGTAACCCTTTCCAGTCCCGGGCTTGATGAAGAATCCAGCTTTAACCCATGAGACTGGCAGCCCTCCTTAGTACCTCTGTCCAATATCGAATCTGAAACTGCAGAAGTCCTTGTGAACTGTTCCTGAAACAGTATGGGCTCCTTTGGTCAGTGTCACATGCTAATGACAGGTTTTACTTTTTTCATGGCTTTTTTTTTTTGTTTGTTTTATGTCGTCTTTTTATGTTTGTATGGTGATTTTTTTCAAAACCAAGTATAAAAGCTGCTTAGAATAGGTCTATCATGAAGGGCACTTTTCAGAATTTGGGCTGGAAAGGGTTATTTTATCAACTGGGGGGGGTGGGAAGGGGAAATGAAAGC